TTGCCCCACCTTTGCTACCTCTTCATGCCTACCAGTGGAAATGCTAGGGAAAAGGGAAATTGCTAACGGTTTAACTGCATAAAAGCACCATTCTGAACCAACTGAATTTCATCATGGACTTTTTCTAACTTAGTAGATGAGAAAACAGACGCAGAAATCATGAGACTTGCCCAAGATTAACCATGTTACTGGTAAACCTGAAACAGGTTCTATGTTATGGCTCTTTGCAATCTTGACCAGTGACAAAGCAGTGTCCTGTGGGACTCTGGAGATGGGGAAGAAGCATAAATTCTGCTTCAGACTAATGCAAAAAACAAAGTTCTAAAATAAAATAGTTATAAATAGAAGAAAAAACATTTATGATCTTAAATAGAGAATCACTTTATTAAATTCTTTGAAAAATCAAAGACAGGGCATATATCCCGGTACTGTTGTAAGCATGTTACATATATTAGCGTAAGATCACTTAGCCCCTACCACCTGTTTTGCCTATAATTAGCAAGGACAGTTTTAAAATAAGTCACTTCTTCACATCAAAAATCACTTGACTTGGATACAGAATATAAATAATAGGGTACAAAAGTAAAACCCTATAGGATATTATATACTTGGTTATTTTCACTAAAAGATAAAAATCAAAATAAGGGAATATATCTCCAGCCTTAATTGGCATCCAAAAGCAAGTTGTCTGACATCCTCCTCCTGTGTTCTCTAACACACTAAATGAAGACAACTGGGAACCAATTCCATAGAGATTTATCTGAGTGCATCTTTTTCATGAGTACCTTTCTAGTGATAATGTTATATACTCTTCTTTGCAGAACCAGTATCTACATCTCTTAAGAAAACTGCTCCTGGGATTAGTACAAACCAGTTTCTTCAAAGCATAATAACAGAACCAAAATATTCTACAGAATGTTTCTTCAGACAGGAAACTCAACTTTATCAGGTAAATTTCATAATTTTTTAGAAGAGTATGAAAATGTTTACCAGTTGCTGAATTCAATTCTAAACCTAGGGACTTGATAATTGACTGAAGGAAAGGGCATGCTCATTTCTTAGCTAACCAAGTTCACGTTCATTAGTTAGTTTTCTGTTGCTTTAACAAAATATCTGAAGCTAAGTACTATATAAATAAAAGAAGTTCATTTATCTCGTAGTTTGGGAGGTTGAAAGTCCAAGAAAGTTCATCCTCCTGAGAGCAAGAGATTATATGATGAGAGAGAATACCAAAGAGTAATTCAGGGGATAGGCTCATTTGTGTGTGTGGTACCAGGGAATCAAACCCAGGGCCTCATGCATGCTAGGCAAGCACTCTACTACTGAGCCATATCCCCAGCCCCAGGCTTACTTTTTAGTAACAATCCACTCTGGAAAGAACTCACTCTGTGAGACCAGGATTAATCCACTCCCAGGACAATGCCCCCATAACCTAACCACCTTCCTCTAGGTTCCATCTTAAAGGTTCCACTATTTTATAACTGCCACAAAGAGGACCACGCTTCCAAAACATGAATCCCTGGGGAATAAATCACATCTAAACCATAGCATTAAAGAAAGGATAACCAGCTGGTTAATGGGATAATTCATTTAATGGAATCTTCAGATATGTCCAGGCCGTTCTGTTCTCCATAAAATGTGACTGTAGTTTAAAGATGAAAATGTTTCATCTACAAGGCAGGTCTGGTTTGTTCAGAAGCCTGCAAACTGATGTTTTCAGTACCAAAACAACATTTGGTGATTACATAAATCTGATATGAACACATCTGCACATACCCACATGCAACTTACAGCTAAGAGGACAATTAGTTAACATTTTTAACATTCTCCTTGACAGAAAAGCAGAGCTATGAAATAAAGCTGCAAATAGCCAGAAGTACTACTAAAAACAAGTAATCCTGGGCAAACCCATCTGAATTGTATGTCCAATTCATGATTGTTTAGTAAAGTAACTGATGCTCTACTTGTTTTTATATGAAGCAGCTCTGGAGTCTGAGAGCCTCCAGAGGAGGATTGCAAGTTCAAAGCCAGCCTCAGCAAAAGTGATGCACTAAGCAACTCAGTGAGACCATGTCTCTAAATAAAATACAAAAAAGGCTGGGGATGTAGCTAAGTGGTTGAGTGCCCCTGAGTATAATCCCCAGTACCAAGAAAAAAAAAAAAAAAAGATTCCATGTGTTAAGGAAATAATGTATAAAAGATATAAATTACTTCATCCAAAAGGGAAAAAACCAAACCCAACCAATTGTCAACGTACAGTATATACAACCAATTCCACTGTATATTAAGCTATGACACAGATCTAGGATTTTAGGTTTAATACCATACAAATATATTAGTTCTTGGGGTTGGGGGTGCACAGGTAAGTGAGAGTGCGTGCTTAGCAGGTGTGAGACCCCAGTTCAACCCCCAGTATCCTCCATTGCAAAATTTCTTTATTTTTGTCTGATCCTTGCCTATTGTTTTAGAGCAACAATTATTATATCTTCTAGACATAAGAAAGTTTCATTGATTTTCCAATTAAAATTGGATCTCCTAAAGTCTGAACCAACCCCACTCTTGGTATTTACAAAAGAAAAACCTAACCATTTTCCATTACATTAGTTCCTCACAAACTACTGAGTTTCTTGCCACTGTTGTTGAAAAGAAACTAAAAAAACCACAAGATCAATTTTCGGCACTACAGTCTCCTAATGAAGTCTTATTTAGTCAAAGGACCAGCTTAATAGAATTCTTTTTTTTTTTTTTTTTTTTTGGTACTGGGGATTGAACTGAGGAGCACTCAACCACTAAGCCATATCCCCAGCCCTAATTTGTATTTTTTAATTTAGAAACGGGGTCTCACTGAGTTGCTTAGCACATCACTTTTGCTGAGGCTGGCTTTGAACATGATCCTCCTGTCTCATTCTCCAGAGCTGCTGGGATTACAGGGGTGTGCCGCCACGCCTGGACCACTTATTTATTTATTTATTTTTAAATTTTATTAGAGCTTTATAGTTATTACATAGAAGTTGGGTTCATCCCAACAAACTTATATGTGCATGGAATTTGATTTCAATTCATGATCTCTCTCCTGGAATCCATTTAATACTGCTATACTACCACATAATTCTATCTTTATTGCTCTTATTTTGTATTATCTAATAGCATAATTCTTTCACAAAAAAGCAATGATAGTACAAAAAAGCAACTGTAGTAAACAAGTACATGTAACTAGGACTCGAATTGTACTCAATTTTAAAACAGTGGGTTGACCCCCAACAGCACAAAAACAAATTACCCCTTTTCTTTCTGGCACATTTTTAAAGAGGAGGCAAAAACGGGGATGGAAAGAACTTTCTGAGCCATTTTGGCTGAAAAGTAAGCATAGTTAAGAAAAAACAAATTAAGATCAGTTCATCTATTTCCCATAGATCACTAGATAACTGTAAGATCACCAGATCCATTGCCACCCGCCTAGGAATGTATTTAAAATAACTTCTAAGACTGTGATAAACCAATGTTCCTCAGAGCCATGTAATCAGATTTTAATTTCTCCTTGGATTATATATCTAATTCAACAAAATTTTTTTCTTTCTTTTTTGCACACGCACGGGGGTGGGGTGGTGGATGGTATTAGGGATCCAGCCAGGAGCACTTAACCACTGAGCAACATCCCCAGTCCTTTCTATGCTTATTTTGAGAAAGGGCCTCAATAAGTTGCTTAGGGTGTCAATAAATTGCTGAGGCTGGGTTTGAACTCCTGATCCTCTTGCCTCAGCCTCCAGAGTCACTGGGGGATGCCCTGAAACAAATTTCATTTTAAATGGGAAATCATTATGGTCAACTCACAATTACCCAAGATTAGAGTTATTCATATTAAAAAGATTCTTTTTGATTCATCCCAAATTCTGAGAGCTACTAAATAAACAAATTGTACACAAAATGTCAAACTCAAATTCAAGTATTTGGGACTCCAAAAAAAGCAAAAAGACTACTTATAATTTTATTTGGTGAGGGAAAGCTAATCATTTGGAATGCATTTATACATGCCGCACCCATATTGCTGATAAGGGTTACAGCCCAGTTCCTTAACTGTTCTAGAAGTTGTCGCTACTATGTTGCCTTATGAAAACTGCAGTGATAATGTCAAGCCTAAATCTGCATTTCTTACTCCAACCAAATCATATAATTTCCCATTACGTATATTAGGTCAGGTAGTAAGAATGGAAGCAAAGGTGTATTTATTTATACCTCGAAGTGATCTCCCAATTTTTCCAAATCAGTGTGTATCTTGGCATACAAATACTACTCTTTTTTAAAGAAGAGTTGATTTCTGCCATCTTACTACCAACGTTTTCATTCAATATTTAAAAGTGTATCAATGAATCGATTTCCTGAGATTGGTATATTTCCTGCTAATTCATATGAACTCTACGACCGTTGTTCCTTTTGAACACCAACTAGTTGTTTCCCTGGGTCTGGACTCTAAGATTCTAGTTCCTATAGCTGTAACTAGTTTCAAACTCACAATCTGCCCAATACCTCTGGCCTTGCAAACAAAAGCTTGTGCTGGTTGGAAGTCCGGCGCGAAAATCTGAAAGTGTTGTAGGACCTGGACTAGTCGCCACTCCACACATGCCTATAACAAGTGTAGCTCCTGGGTCAGAACTTGCACGCACTTGGGCATGAGCCCCGACCTGGCTAGTCCAAGCAAACCCGAGCCTTACAAACTAGCCAGACTCAGCAGATGTGCACAGACCCAGGGGGAGGGGAGGGTCCCTAAAGGGCAATAGGGCCTGGAAAGGTGGCCAGGACAGGCTAAAGTCCCTGGAGGCAGGGTACTCCCCTCCCCCACAACCTGTTGGATGCCACTGGCAGGTACTGGTCCAGGAGTGCTCTGTCCTTCTAGTTCTTGGGAGCTCAACGGAGCGCCAATCCTGAACGCGGGAAGCGGCTCACAGAGATGTAAAAGCACTTGTCTCGCCACCCCCACTCCTACCCCTCACCCAGTTGCTCACCGGTGTTGCAGCCCCACGAGTCCTAGAGTGATCACATGCGGCACATCTAGCTGCGTGGGCCATTCTCCAGAAGCTATGCACCCGAACACGCCGCATTCCTCGCGAATCCCCAATTCCTCCAGCTCCATGTCGCTGCCGAAAGCACGTGGAGGAGCTCGCGGCCGCAGCCGAGGTACTAGGACCAAACAGCTGCCTGTACGGCCCTAGAGCCTCAGAGGCTGGCGCTACAGACAGCCGCTTCCTTCCCCGCGGGTAGACCTAGGCTACTGCGGCGGCGCGTGCTTAGTGGGCGTGACCATCTCATCACCACCAGGCCCCGTCCCCCATGGCCACCAATGAGGGAGAGCGGGAGAAGAGGTTCCGCGGCCGAGGGGAGGAGTCGCGGATTTCATGGGGGTGGAGCCAGTCTTCCTCTGGCTATGTACCAGAACCTATTTTATCTGCACTTGGCTATCTCCGTTATTTTCCAGCATCCACATCGGAAATGATGAAAGTAACGGGGTTGGAGTCATTTCTCTCTGAGAACATGTAAACTTTACATGTCCTTTTCCCTGCTTTCCCCCATCACGACTTGGTACGCTCCAACCTATGAACCGCTCCCTCTGGCAAGAAGGGGGCCCCAGTCTACGAGCTCTGCAGCGTGGGGAGGGGCCGCCAGTGCGCGCCACTTTTCTCCTCTATAGGAACAGTGTACGGGGAGGCTTGGAGGCGGGGTGCCGTCGCTGCGCCTGCGCGGCAGGAAACCTCTCGTAAGCGCTCTGGGAGTCGAAGCTTCTCCCCAGTTGTAGAGACCCTCCGATTTGGGTCTGTGTAGGCGAACTCGATTTGAGCGGCGCGCGGCTACGCTGCCCCTCCAGGGGGCGTGTCTATGGGCGGAACTTCCTTCCCCGGCCCTGCGAATCTCTCTTGCCGCTCTTCTTTTCCAGATTTCAGCCGCTTTTCCTAGCGTGGTCGCTGCTTCCAGTCCGTTCAGAATAATGGCGACAGCTGAAAGTGAGTAACAGGAGACCTATTTCCCTTACTCAACGATCTCCCCGCCTTCTGGCGGTGGTGCGGGCTCCGCGGCCGGATTCCAGTGAGCTCTTTGCATTGCTCGGCCTCCCTGCAGCCGTGCACGTAGGCCCGTGAGTGAGCGCACACGTGGCCCAGGCGCCGGGACCTTCTTTGGACTTGAAGCACCCCGGGCCTCTCCGAACTCTCCTAAATTCATAAAACTGCTTCTCTGATGGAGGAACAGGAGCAAAGTAGAGTAAGAGGGTGCCTAGGACGAGAAATAGTCAAAGATTGCCTTGAAAAGGTCATCAATAGATGTTGCAAAACAAGCACGTGAAAATTTAGCGTAGACTCTTCAAACCAAAGGCTTGCCTTTCCTGATTGGTTAATCCCCTTCTTTTCGTAAGGTTAATAATTTAACCTGAAAAATTTGTTTAAGTTTTGAGTGGTTTGATAGTATTATTCAAAAAAGTATTCTTTGATGCCTTGATAGCTTTAGAAATTTCCAAAGCCCATAGGCGAAAAAGTTTTCCTTACTTCACTTTGCGTTTGTCAAAATTTGCAGTTACATAATTATTTTGTCCCTGAGTGATTTGATCCACACACACCGGTTTAGAAGTTTATACTGAAGCAAATTGCATTCCACTGACATGTTAATTTTTCTCAAACTTGCCTTTACAGTTTCTAAAAGGTCCTTCTCGGGCTGGGGATGTGGCTCAAGTGGTAGCATGCTCGCCTGGCATGCGTGCGGCCCGGGTTCGATCCTCAGCACCACAAACAAAGATGTTGTGTCCGCCAAAAAGCTAAAAAAATAATAATAATAATAAATATTAAAAATAAAAATAAAAGGTCCTCCTTAAAAATGTTTATAGTTGGTATCCCTAGAGCCGTTAAATACAGTTGGTACTGGGGGAAATTGACCAAATATACTGTTCTATTGTGTGCATGTATGCATATGTAACAAGGAATCCAGTTATTGTATATAATTATAATGCACCAACAAGAAGAAGAAAAGGGAAAAAAAAACTAGTCAGAAGTTCTTTTCATCCAAACTTATATATTGAGGTCTTTTCTACTGAAGTCCTTTGATTTTGTTCCATTGTGAATCTATGTTCCATTCAGGTTACCTCTCCAAATTTTATTTCTTGTTAAACACATTTTGCTCACACTTTTTCATAGAGCAGTGTTAGCTAATAAAAATATGAAAACCAAGTGTGATTTATTTACTCTCTCCCTCTTTTTTTTTTTTTTACTATGGGCTTCGAACCCAAGGGGCTTATCCACTGGGCCACATCCCCAGCCCCTTATATATTTTATTTGGAGACAGGGTCTGGCTGAGTTCCTTAGCGACTCCGAACTTGGATTCCTCCTGTCTCAGCCTCTAGAGCTTCTGGGATTACAGGCGCTATGCCCAGCCTTATAAATTTGTTTTCTAGTAGCCATATTGAGAAATGTTGCCTTTTTTCATATTGAATATGGAGCATATTCACAGCCACATTGACTAGTGGCTACCTATTGGACAGCACAGTCCTAGAATATTCTTAATTCTCATCTTATTAGTCTATGCTTTGCAAATCTTAAATTTCAATTCTGTGAACCTTTCTCAGTTCTCATCAGTCTCTTCTGAATTCATCTGTGAATTTCTGGTAAGTCATTTTCACACTCGTAGTGTTGCCAAAAGCTCTGTCCTTTTCCCTGATGCCAATCCAATGATGAGGACACAAATTTTGAGAAAAAGGAAAAAGGGTTTATTGCTTTGCTAGCAAAGGAGAAACACCTGGGACTCCTGTCCCAAAGGCTGTGATTCTGACCATCAGCAGGAACAGGAGGGCTTTTAAAGAGGTGACTCAAAGGTTACATTCCCTGTGTTACCTGTCAGAGTTGTGATTCACTTGTTAATTTGGGAGATAGTAATTTCTGAGATCTTCTTGTACCTATCCCTAAAGTCTGATTACTTAACAATCCTATGGTGGGTGTGTACTCAAGGACAAATAACTCTGTGATGGAGAAGATTAGGGAGGGGCAAGATTAGAGAGGATCTGGGAGTGAAAGAAACTTGTGCATTTTAAAAATAAGTTGCAGTGGCAGAGCAGCAAGGGCTGTATTCAAAGCCTAAAGTTAACATTTATCCTATAGTTAATCTTGCCACATTCTTGACTCTTGCCTCTCATTTATCCTCCCTACTGAATCAGTTGTTCCTCAGTTTTTTAAATATCTTCAGTCTTTGCCCATTGCTCTTTCCGTAGACCAGGACATTACTTGTCTGTATTGCTGCAGTACCATCCTAAACTGGATTCAAATACAGATCTATCCTTGTACTTCAGTGCTTAAAAGCCTAGTTGTTCTTAGGATATCTAAATTGAATAAACATGGTTTAAAAAGCTTAAAGTATGAGTAGCAAAATGTCTCATCTGTGAGTCTAGTATCAGGCCTAGGAGAGAAATTGTCAAAAGGTTTATGAGAGTCATAAAAATTAAGAAAGTTGGGGTTCTAGGAAGGGAATGGAGAAATGAGTTTTGAATAGCAAGCTAGAGCTCTACCCTGAAGGGCTTTTTAAACCTTGTTAACATGTCTGGATATTACATTAGGAAGGCAGAAATTATTCCTCTGAATTAGGTGCCCCTGAATTGCCATCAGTGTCTATCAAGAATAAAATTTAGCTTGGCTGAGAACAAAGAAAAAATGTTTCTTGGAGCTAATTAGGATTGCAATCTGCAGCCAGAAACACAAATTTCAATAGCCTTGAATTGGATTTTGAGGTTTTTTTTCAAAGTAGCACAAGAAGGTTTATAATTACATTACTTGTTAATCCAGAATTATGATTGGTACTGCCAAATAAATTGCCTCATAAGAAAAGAATTGGGTACAGCCTTAGTCTTTGGGTAGGCAGTGGGTTCATTCTATAGAAGGTCAACAGAGGTTATCAATGTTTCAGGAAACTGCTGTTTGGCCTACTTCAAAGGTCAGCTTACTTGGTGGGGGCATGTGTGCAATGTGCTTGACTGATGGGCTTCCATGTTGATGTGCCTCAAACCCAATCCAACAGTGGTCTCCAGGGTCCATGTTAAGTACCCTAAACGGTGCCCTAAAAGAAAATTTTTATTTTCTTTCTTGACAGTATTTTGTTCAGTCATTACCCCTACTAGTTGGTGATGCAGCCCCATTCCAACTCTTCTACCTTATTTGCTGCTGTTCTTTTTTATTCCTTAGCTACTTCCCCATGCCCCTCTCCCCCGGCAGTGTATATACAACTAGAGCTCCAGGGCTTCAGCCATTCTGAAGTTCCATGCACTCCTTTATCACCTTTTGATTCTTACCACAACTAATTATACCTTACTTTCTTTTGGCTAAATCTTAATCAATTTTCAGATCTCAAGCCTAATTTTCACTTTATTCTAGACTTCTTTGATTTCTAGACTAGTTTAGTTGGCACAGCTATGAACATGTGATCCTATAGTCTGTATTTATTACATTATACTTATTATGATATTTAATATCAGGTTTGCTCAGACTTGGTTAGGTCCCTTGAGAGCAGGTTCTAGGTCTCATTTTCTGATACATCTACAGTACCTATCCATAGATACACTCGGAAAATGCTAAAACTTGGGCTAGAGTTCGGAGACCATGAGGATTGATTTCTCCTTCTTTGGAAATTTTAAGTCCTTAAACGTCTATTATCTTAGATCTTCATCTAAAAAATGTATATTTATTTATTTTTTGGGGGGTACCGGGGATTGGACTCAAGGGGCACTTGACCACTGAGCGACATCCCCAGCCCTATTTTGTATATTATTTAGAGACAGGGTCTCACTGAGTTGGTTAGCTCCTTGCTTAGTGCAAAGAAGGCAGAGGTGGCACAAGCCTGTAATCCCAGAAGCTCAGGAGGCTGAAGCAGGAGATTTGCAAGGCAAGTTCAAAGCCTCAACATTTTAGCTAGGCCCTAAGCAACTCCTTGAGAACCTGTCTCTAAATAAAATAACAAAAAGGGCTGGGGATGTTGCTCAGTGGTTAATTGCCCCTGAGTTCATTCTTCAGTACTAAAAAAGAAAGAAGGATGCTTACAGATGAGCTAACTTAAAAGCAAATGAAGGAGCCTCTTGCATATTAACTTGAAATCAAGAAACCTACTGGCTGAACTTAAATATTTTGCCTGCCATGGAAAGCAAAAGTCAAGAAAAATACAGCATTTTTTCCCCCTGCAAGCTAATTTAAATAATGTATTCTGTGTATAAAAAGTACTAGTTATATTAATTTAAAGTAGCTTAATTTTAATTCTGTTTCAGTTTACCTGTGAGAGGCATAGATTGCTAGTGGATAGAATATAGGATTTGGTATCAGGAAACCTAGAATTTTGTCTAGCTCTGCATATCCTAACATGGGTGACTTTTTTGTCACAGTTTCTAATCTCTATAATTGTTTAAATAATTAGATTTCTTCATAAAATTATGTGATTGTAACAGGGATTCACTTGACACTTTGATATATCCCTTGTAGCTTTGAAACTTACACTTTTTTTTTTCTTAATCTTCTTTTCCTTAAGCTTCTCTCTGATTTTGTTTTCCCTAAACTTCTTCCTGATCTCTCCTGCCTAATCTAATTTTCTCGGAATCACTTTTAAAAGCCCCCTGTTCCTGGAATGGGCAAGATCACAGCCTTTGTTTCTCTTTTGCTAGCAAAGCAATAAACCTTTTTTCTTTTTCTCAAAACCGTGTCCTCGTTATTGGATTGGCATTGGAGACAAAGACCAGCTTTTGGTTACATGATGATACATGACAAAATAAACTTGAGTATAAAATTCGATGCTCTGGGGCTCAATGGTAGAGCCCTTGCTTGACATGTGTGAGGCACTGGGTTTGATCCTTAGCACCACATAAAAATAAATAATGTATTGTGTCCATCTACAACTTAAAAAAAAAAAAAGATTCTATGCAGATGTCTTAATTTTTAATAAGGTTCTTCCTTAGTTCACTGATTGGTCATTCTAGATGTTTTAATATTGAATATTCAGGAAATTTCTCACTAAAATCTGATAGAGTCCTTTTCTGTGTTTACAGTATTGAACATTGGTAAGAAACTCTATGAGGGTAAAACAAAAGAAGTGTATGAATTGTTAGATAGTCCAGGAAAAGTTCTTCTGCAGTCCAAGGACCAGATTACAGCAGGAAATGCAGCCCGAAAGAATCATCTGGAAGGAAAAGCTGCAATCTCCAATAAAATTACCAGTTGTATTTTTCAGTTGTTACAAGAAGCAGGTAAGTGCCTCCCCTTCTCTTTCTGTCTTTCCCTCTCTCCTTTCTCCTTTCTCTCTTTTTTATTTCTTTCTTATTTTGATTATTTTCATGGGGAAATGACATTATTTAGGTCTACAACATGATACTTATCAGCTTGAGTTTTTAGTTTTTACAAGAAGGAGGTAAATTGCAATTGCAATTACTTCATCCAAAAGGGAAAAAACCAAACCCAACCAATTGTCAATTTATATATATATATATATATATATATAAATATATATCACATTGATCTCTATTGGGGAGATGGCATTGTTTGAATTAACAACCTATTGTTTGGGGGTGACTACTTTACACCTTGACATTTTGCTACAGTCTTTGTCAAGTACACTGTCCCTCTGCAATTTCTTTCTGCTAGGCCATCTTCAGTCTTAACTGTGAAAGAAGACCACCTTTGTATTAGCAGCTCTAATTAATGAACTGTTCCTCCCTGAAATTTTATAGATTGTTCTTTTCTCTGCCTGTTGAAAACAATACAGAATTTCAAATCCCTCTTCCATTTATTTTAAAGTCCAAAAGTATTTGAAGATAGCAACTACCTTTTTACCCTGTCATTTCCCAAGAAAGGGAATTGGACTTAATCAAAGATCTCTAGAGTTCCCTACTACTTAAAAATTGAAGGAAAACTATTTATGATAGAAAAATTAAAAGACTAAATTAACATCCAGATGTCATAGAGACAATTTGGAGGGAAGGAAGGGGAATAGAATAATTTTTTTCTTCAGTGATTCAGTCAGCTACTGGTTGATCTGTAGTGTTTGAAATCTCTGCTATTAAAAGATTTGGGCTTTTTCCCTATAGTGTAAGAGGCCTCATTTCCTTGGATCACTCAATCTTTGAAGCCTTGGATTCCATGTCTATAACCATAGAGCTTTGTTCTTTGTTTCCTGCAGTTCTAATCTTATAATTTAGTATCTTTCCTTCCTTATGCAAAATATTCCTAGTTACTCTTTCATTTCTTTTATCTTCCAGTAAGCACTAATCTTTTCTAAAACCACATTTGGGGTTTAATACATTTGTTTTCAGTCAGGACAGATGTACCTGCCTTCCACAAATTCACAGAGTAGTTAACCATAAATTCATTGTGTCATTACATTCCTGGAGCAGTTTGTCCTCTTCCAAAATATCCTGTTTTACATTTTAAGTTAATGTGGGGGAAAAAATGTTAGTTGCAAACCTGAATTGTTATCTGTATCTAAATACCTCTTTGCATTGAAAATGAGTATATTGCTATAACTTTAAAGGACCATCCATAGTTCCTAAGTTATAGGGTTTTTATTTCAAGGCTTCCTTAATTGCTGGAATGAATGAGAACATGCACTGGAGAGTGCATCAAACTAAATTTAGTTTCCTTTTGTAATGCAGATAAATGTCTGATCTACCTTATTAAATAAAATTTCAGTGCTTTTTTTTTTAATCAATATGTAGGTATCAAAACTGCTTTCACCAGAAAATGTGGAGAAACAGCTTTCATTGCGCCCCAGTGTGAAATGATTCCAATTGAATGGGTTTGTAGAAGAATAGCAACTGGTTCTTTTCTCAAAAGAAATCCTGGTGTCAAGGAAGGATATAAGTTTTACCCACCAAAAGTGGAGATGTTTTTCAAGGTAATTATTTTATGCTTCTGTGTCTTACTATAAGGTAGCAGCAAAGTTAAAATTATAAACTCAAAAGATTTTGAAGTTTTTGATATTGGGAATGTTGTAGATATTTATGCCAATAAAGTACACTTTCATTAACAATGACAAATCAGGTTTTTAAAAGAAAATGTACTTACCTTAGACCAAGTTGACTAAGAAAGGGAACAAACTTAAAAATTTAACACTAATTGGGAAGAAATATAACATTTAATTCAAAATTTACAGTTAAAATCTTTCTGTATTCTAATATAGGAAAACATATTGAGCAAAACTATATAAGAATATAGGAATCAATGGTTATAATTTTTTATAGGCTTTGTTTGAACCACTTTACCCCTCCTATCTTGTTAAGCATAGATATTAAAATTGTAAATTATGTTTAAATTTGTTTATTGAGAGAAGACAAATTTCTTTCAAATACTTTAAGACCTAGAAAAAGTTACTTACCTAAATATCTTGAATTTTAAAGTAGCTATTAAAAGCAAATAAATTAGCTGGGGTGCTATGGTGCATGCCTGTAATCCCAGCAGCTCAGGAGGCTGAAGCAGGAGGATCGTGAGTTCAAAGCCAGTCTCAGCAAAAGCGAGGTACTAAGCAACTCAGTGAGACCCTGTCTGTAAACAGAGTACAAATAGGGCTGGGCATGTGGCTCTGTGGTCTAGTGCCAGTGTGTTCTACTCCAGTTACCCACTCCCCCCACCAAAAAAAAAAGCAAATGAATTAAAAATAATTACTTTGAACTAAAGGATATTTTAAACAAATTTTTTTTTTTAGAGAAAACGAATATTCCCGAGGAATTTATGCTCAAGGAGAAGTACTTTTTTCTGAAAAGTTCAAAAAAATTGTAATTATAGTACTATACTTTATTCCTAGGATGATGCCAATAATGATCCACAGTGGTCTGAGGAACAGCTAATTGCTGCAAAACTTTGCTTTGCTGGAGTTACTATAGGCCAAACTGAAGTGGACATCATGAATCATGCTACACAAGCTATTTTTGAAATACTGGAGAAATCCTGGTTGCCCCAGAACTGTACATTGGTTGATATGAAGGTACTAGAAAACAGAAATTTACAAGTAAAGGTTATTATAACTGAGAAGTGTCTTTAGTAATATCATTTTTTAAAACGTGTTCTTTGGCAATATGCCATTTCTAGATTGAATTTGGTGTTGACATAATCACCAAAGAAATTGTTCTTGCTGATGTTATTGATAATGATTCCTGGAGACTCTGGCCATCAGGGGATCGAAGCCAGCAGAAAGACAAACAGGTAAGTAATGCTGTGAATTTTTATCCTTTGAAAGATCAGATTGGGACAGGAAAAACAAAGGAAAGATAAGGTGTGTATCCTTATGAATCTTGATTTGTTAATTTCCATTTACTTTTAAAGATAAGTATCTCCTATATCTTGGACATTAGTAATAAACTTATAAAGCAGATTTCTTGTTTATCATCTTCATTGACTCTCCAAAAACTAACAGAGTAAGTATTGTCCTTGTTTGGCTAGTTGAAAACTAAGACTCTAAGGGGATAGTATCTTCACAAGTACAAGAATAACTGGCAGATCTGGGACTCTACACCAAGTCTTCTGGTCTTAATCAAGCTCCATTCTGTTTTTTCCTAATAAAAATTAGGTTGAGATCCTCTATATGCTTAATACACAGGAATTCTCAAGGCTGTTAATTGTAGATGCTAGTGTAGAAAGCACTTAACCTTAAAGGAAAATAAAACTTTTACTTCGCTATTGAACTTTCTCTAATTTAGGAATGAATTTCTATATTGAGATACGTTTTCAGATATATCTCATTTAAAAAGTTATCATACTCCCTACTCAAAACTCATAAACCGGATCATTTCTAACTTCCTATCTTATTTTCTAGTCTTACCGTGACCTCAAAGAAGTAACTCCTGAAGGGCTCCAAATGGTAAAGAAAAACTTTGAGTGGGTTGCAGAGAGAGTAGAGGTAATTTTCTGTAGTAAACCTGTACTGTTACGTGTTTTTCTTCTAAGAAAACCTTGTTTCAAAATAAAATGTGAAAGATATAGTGTTTTTCTCTTCTTCAGTGACTTTGAAAGAGAGGAACACCTTTACGAAATGTCCCAGTCTACTACCCTTACTGGTATACTAGAACTCTCTGCTAGTAACTGGCAAGTGTATTGTTTCCAGTTCCTGATAGGTAAACCTGGGATCCTGTCAACTCTCTGTCCCTGTAGGAGAAACTTTTTACATTTCCTACCATTCCCTACTACAGTGCCAACATCATAGGATGGATGGAATGCCATGTAATTTTATTTTTTAATTTAAAAAGTTTTTGTTTGTGGTGCTAGGAAACAAACCAGGGCCCCTGTGCATGCTAGGCAAGTGCTTTATCACTCAGCTATATCCCCAGTCCCTCCATTTTACTTGGTTCTTTATGTTACTGGTCTTTGAAACCCAGGCCTAAGCAACATCCCAGTCCCCTTCACATAATTATAAAATGTCACTTTAATTTTTTTTAATATTACTTTTAGTTGTAAATGGACATTTATTTTATTTATATGTGGTGCTGAGAATCAAACTCGGTGCCTCACACATGCTAGGCAAGTGCTCTATCACTGAGCCACAACCCCAGCCTTCACTTTAATTTTTATGATATTACAATTACTATAGTTACATGGGAGTTCGAGGGAGTATCTGATTATCCAATGATCATAATCACCTTTTAGAACATTATTTCCATGTTGCCAGACACAATTGCACACACCTGTAATCCCAGTAACTTAGGAGGCTGAGGCAGGATTGCAGGCCAGCCTCAACAACTTAATGAGACTTCTCTCAAAGTAAACATAAAAGTGGGGGTGGGGGGACTGGGAATGTAGCTTAGTGATGAAGCATCCTGGAATTCAATCCCTGGTACCACAAGAAAAAAAAAATTTTTTTAATTGTTTTAAACAACCAACTTACAAATATATATAATATGACCTCTAGTTTGGCTGATCATGCTGTTAAACATCTTTAGAATGAAATGGTTGGTTATAGTTTCTTGAATAATAATTAAAAGGCTTGAGGATTTTATTAATAAATATTATATATCTGATTTAAAATCTTCTCCATTGGGTCTTAATTATGAAGACCACTGTCCTTTATACAGAAAAGTTATTGTACTCATTCCTGTTTGTCCATTTTTGTCTTGTTCTTTTTCATATCCATGTTTTTCTATTTTAGTTGCTTCTGAAATCAGAAAATCAGTGCAGGGTTGTAGTACTGATGGGTTCAACTTCTGATCTCGGCCACTGTGAAAAAATCAAGAAGGCTTGTGGAAATTATGGAATTCCCTGTGAACTTCGGGTAACATCTGCCCATAAAGGACCAGATGAAACATTGAGGATTAAAGCTGAGTATGAAGGTAAACTTCAAATAATTAGACCATTTTAGGTGTTGTTTGTTTTGCCAAAAAAAAAAAAAAAAAATGTGTTTTAGACTAATACCAAAAAGTTGCTTTTCCATATTCCCAAGGGTAAGTCTTGAAATATGCTATGCTTTCAAGATACTCACCTCCAAAGAGCATAAGATCTGGGGTGCTTGAAAAAGAAAGAAGCAGGAAAAAAGAAATGAAAATGCAAACCTGAAGGAAATCAGACTAGAACTGTGAGGATCTCTGATATCTTAATCTAACAAGCATCCCTTTGAGCATTGTCTCTTAACGTGCTCCAATAGAAAAGCCCCATAGAGGTTCCAGGAGGCCTGAGTTAAAATTGCAGATCCTCTCTGCTATCTTTAATGGTTAACCTTCCCTGGAAGACACTAAAAATGAAGCCACATAGTTTTATATTCAGAATATAAGTATGTAAAAGAAATGATAAGACAGTGTTGATGTAAAATAATAGCTTCCTGGGTTCCGAACCAAATATTTCCCTACTGGAAAAAATGTTGATTGACACTTGTAATGGTCATTGTTCCAGGAGTGTACTTATTGGTTTTGTTTATTTTGTGATACCAGAGATTAAACCCAAGACCTCACACATGCTAGGCAAGCACTAAGCTAAATCTTCAGCCCTTTTAATTTTTATTTTGAGATAGGTTCTCCCTAAGTTACTGAGGCTGACCTTGAACTTGTGAGATCATCTTTCTTTAACTCCCAATTAGTTGAAATTATGGGTATGCACCATTACACCTGACCCAGGAGTGATTTAAGACATAAGGGCACGTTCTTTTTTTAAAAAAAAAAAAATTGTTAAATCTTTTAAATGCTTAGCAAAATAATCATCTTATGATTTCCCTAGGGGATGGCATTCCTACTGTATTTGTGGCAGTGGCAGGCAGAAGCAATGGTTTGGGCCCAGTGATGTCTGGTAACACTGCATATCCAGTTATCAGCTGTCCTCCCCTCACATCAGACTGGGGAGCTCAGGATGTGTGGTCTTCTCTTCGATTACCCAGTGGTAAGTTACCCTGAAAATTTTTTTTAACTGTTGTTTACAAAAATTGAAATATATATAACAGTGTGGAGAATAGCATAATGAAATCTCATATACCTATCACCCAGACTCAACAAGTAATGTTTTGTTTTATGTATAAACCCCCCTTTTGGGTTGGGTTATTTTAAAGCAGATTTTTTAATCTGGTGATGAGGATCAAATCAGTGCCTCATACATGCTAGGCAAGTGCTCTGCCACTGAGCTACAGCTCCAGTCCCTCCCATCTGTTTTTACAGATGCTTAAATTAGGATCTAACAGTCTGTATATTGAATTTAGTTGATATGTTGTCTTTTTTTTTTTTTTTTTAATATTTTTTAGTCGTAGTTGGATACAATACCTTTGTTTTGATTTATTTATTTTTATGTGGTGCTGAGGTACGAACCCAGGGCCTCACACACACTAGGTGAGCAATCTACCACTGAGGCACAACCCCAGCCCATGAGTTAAGTCTTTTTATAATTTTTTTTTTTTTCTTTTTTTTTAGTGGTAGGTGGACATAATACCTTTATTTTTATGGGGTGCCAAGGATTGAACCCAGTGCCTCATGCATGCTAGGCAAGTGCTCTCCCACTGAGCCAGCCCAAGTCTTTTTTTTTTTTTTTTTTTAATATTTATTTTTGAGCCTTGCACATGCTAGGCAAGCACTCTACAGCTGAGCCACAACCCCAGTCCTATTTTGTATTTGTATTTTATTTAGAGACAGGGTTTCAATGAGTTGCTTAGCACTTTGTTTTTGCTGAGGCTGGCTTTGAACTCTCGATCCTCCTTTCTTAATCCCCCTGCCTCTAAGATTACAGGTGTGTGCCACCACACGCAGCTTGAATTTTTTTCTTTATGGAAACTTAGGATCTTTTATCTGTACTGATTATTCTTAAATTTCACACAAATGTGATTTGGTAAGTCTGTTTTTATTGTGTATGGCTTTGTGGCTCTTTTAATAAGATACTTTATTCCTTAAATCAGAGAATTTTCTTGAATTATTTTTTACCCCTCCTTTGTCTTTATTCTCTCATTTTTTAATTTATTCTTCACATTTGGATTTCCTTGATTTCTATTTTCTTTCTCTTGTTGCTGTACTTTCTGATATGGCCTCAATTTTGTATCACATCCTAACCTTCTGTTGAGTTTTTCATTTTGAATACAGTAGTTTTACATGTCTAGTAGCTCTTTTTTATTCTCTTAGTTTCCCCCCCGCAAGAGTATCATTTTATTGTTTAATCTGTGCAGTAACATCTTCTGATTTTGTGGTCTTATTAATTCATTTCTTCAACTCTAGTGATTGAGCTTGTATGGGGGTACTGTTAAAAAAAAAAAAAAAAAAAAACTAGTTGGAAACTGGCTCTACTGTGGGTTGATCTGGTAGTTACTCTCCAAATAATCTCACACATCAGTGACTAGGTCTTTTCTTGTTAGAATTACACAGAGAAATTTTGTCCCCATCTTTTGCCTGTATGAATAAATTTGGCTGCCAGCATTCAGGAAGCTTAGGGGGGAATCTCAACTTGTGTGTGTAAACTTCACTCCCTGTTTTCACTATATCATTCCTTGCCTCAACTATGCCTGATATCCCCCCAGTCCAGAGACTGAAGTGTTTAACCTCAGATAAATTGAAAACTCTGCCATGTTGAGGCACTTACTCAGATAGACAAAGGAAAGAGTTCTTGAGGGCCTAATTACTTCTTAGACTTTTATTGTTTGGTCCTCTTCTTTTTGGCCCAATTTTTATTCTCACTTCATGCCTCCCTCAAAGGTATCTGGTGCAACTAATTCCTCTTTTAGCAGGGTTCTATGATAGTAGTTAGGTTGCTTCTCTCTTTTTTTTTTTTTTTTTCTTTTGTTTTCTTAATCTATTAAGTTAGTTACCACTTTATTTGCTTTTCACTTGTCAAAATGTTACTTTTGTTTATCTCTTTGTCCTAATATGTTTATGCCTATTTTCTTTATTCCCTTTAAGATGGATTTAGTATGGTTCCAGAGATATATCTTGTGCTTAATCATCTTCACTAGATCCTTAACTACACATTGATTACACAAACTTTTGGAGTTTAATATTCACTGAAGCTATAAATAAAGCTATTGATCAAATTTATGCCAGAGGAACTATATACCTATCGTCCATGGACATTAGAAAAGGGGACTATGGAGATGGCGTAGAGTGTTTCCCTCACATGCACAAAGCCCTGAGTTCAATCCCCAGCACCACTAAAAAAAAAAAAAAAGAAGAAAGAATAGGGAACTATGATGAGCAAAAATAGGACAGTTTTTATCTAGTGCTATTCAAGGAGAGAGAGAGGGACTCTGGGAAATGTGTACATTCTGGTCACTAGAATTAGAGATAATCTGTGTGTGCATGTGTATTACTGGGCATTGAACCCAGAAATCCTCTAACATTGAGCCACACCCTAATCCTTTTTATTTTATTTTGAAATGGGGTCTCACTAAGCTGCTGAGGCTGTCCTCAAATTTATAATCCTCATCCTCTCCAGTCTCTAGGATTACAGGTGTGTGCCACTACACCTGACTACGGACAGTGTTTTTGAAAAAAAAAAACATACAGTGACTAGTACATAAGATCCTGAAAGATTGCTCATCTTTCTTTCTATGATGTCTTGTTCACTAGATAACCATTTTGATTTGTTTATTCATTTCGTTTGAGGTGTTGGGGGATTGAACCCAGGGCATCATGTATGTTAGGCAAGCACTCTATCACTGAGCCCTTGTACTTTGATTATTAACTGACACTTCAATTTTCTGTCTTTTCCCTTTGTGAACTATAGGTCTTGGCTGCTCCACCATACTTTCTCCAGAAGGATCAGCTCAGTTTGCAGCTCAGATATTTGGATTAAACAACCATCTGATATGGGCCAAACTGCGAGCAAGCATACTGAACACATGGATTTTCTTGAAGCAGGCTGACAGGAAAATCAGAGAACATAGTTTATAAGAAAGAATATGTCATTTCATTTTTTTAGGCAAAAAAATACAAATTTCTAGTTCAGCTGCAGAAGAAAAAGCAAGATGAAAAGATGATTTTAGATCAGAAAACAATTTATTAGTGAATAAACACTTCTAGATGGATGGATTAAAAGTTCATCTGTTCATATTAATATTCCTTCATTGGTAGTGAAATTATTGTAGAAACATTTTCAAATTAATCTCTTACCCCACTATATGACCATTGTTAGGTAACATTTTTTAAATGCTAATAAAATCCTATTATAAAGCTCCAAAGTTATTACTTGACCTTCTGTATTGTAACCTATAAGTTTTAGAAAGTATTGATTATATCTTGGGTGATAAGAGTAACATAGTCCTTTCATTTTATGGTCTTTACAAATTTGAAGGCATGGTTTTTTATTTGTACCTCAGAAAATGATATGCATTTACATGTATTTTGGGCTATTAATACATCTTCTTTGTGTTTTTGTTTTTGTGGTATGATGAAACTCAACACAAGCATTCTTTCTACCACTGAGCTACAACCCCGACCCTGGGTTTTTATTTTCAAGTTTTTTCTTTCTCTCTCTCTCTCTTTTTTTTTTTTTTTTAAAGAAAAGTTGAGATTAGTGCAGGCCAAAGAGGAAAACACATGAAATAAGATGAAAGGACACTGTAGAAGTCATGGAAAGGGGACTTTTTTGATACTTTCTCTGATGTTTATCAGGACATTTCCCCACAGGAAGAAAAGTAGTCACCTTTGCCATCCCAAATGAAAGACTGAATTCAACTTAACTGTGAAACTTGATATGGTTGTTACCAAATGCTCAGTCCTTGTCCCCAATGCCAATCCAATAATGAGGGCATGGTTTTGAGAAAAAGAAAAAAGTTTATGTTTTGCTAGCAAAGGAGAAACAGGGGACTCCTGTCCCAGAAGCTGTGATTCTGCCCATCAGCAGGAACAGGAAGCTTTAAAGAGGTGACTCTTGGAGTTATAATTCACTTATTAACATGGGAGGTGGATAGTCATTTCTGAGATCTTCTGCTACCATCCCCAAAGTCTGAATTACTCCTTTCCTATAGTGGGTGAGTACTCAAGGACAGATAAATCTGCCTAAAATGGGGAAGAGAGGTAGTCATGTTTCTCCTGAGATTAAGGAGAATCAAGGAGAGAGGAAGAAAAACACCTCCATTTTAAAAATAAGTTGCAGTGGCAGAGCAGCAAGGGCTATATTCAAAGCATAAGTTAGATGGTGGGTGCATCTGTGGGTCATAAACTTCTTTTAGTTCTAATAAGACATGTTTTAGCCACACTAATAATCACCAGCCTACCATCATTTGCAGAAATTGGATCTCCCTGTTGATAATATTAGGGGTTTTTTGGCTAATATAAGAGTAACTAGGATGCACCTCTGTAGAAGCACTGGTTACTAAGAGGTCAGTTGTGTTTTATTTGGATCTTAGCTGTGATTTGACCCAAGTCGATTCTGTTGCAGTGTTTTTGCTTTTCTTGTGCTCATCACATTCCTATTTGAAATGGGTAACCTAACAATAGTAAATTGACTCCCCTTGCTAACCTTCCTATTCTCTTGGTCTGTTGCTCTACTGGCACCTTCCCAATAGTCCTCTTAATACTGTTTTAAACATTTTTGTATTGGTTGATAATGGACTTTTATTTACTTATTTATATATGTGGTGCTGAGAATCAAACCCAGTGCCTCACATGTGCTAGGCAAGCACTCAACCACTGAGCCATAACCCCAGCAGCTGCCTGCCACCCCTCCCTGCCAATGGTCTTAAAGGACGATTTCTTTCTTTTTTGGTACTGAGGATCTAGAGACAGGGTCTCTAAATTGCTCAGCACTTAAGTAAACTGCTAAGAGTGGCTCTGAACACAACTCTCCTGCCTCAGTCTCCCAAACTGCTGGGATTACGTGGGTGTGCCTCCAGGCCTGGCAGGATTAGTTTCTTATGTATACCATGGGTAGCTTGTGATTACCTGCCACTTTCCAATACCAACTACTGTGCCTATAAGTTCATAGAAAAGCATGCAAAATTTAGGAAGGGTGAAATCACAGAATATAGAGAAGGTCTTTATATAGATTTAGCATTATTTCATTACATTGTCTTTTCTCTTTTTGTTAAGCATTGGTGAAATCCTCATTATAATTCATCTTCAATCTATAAACCAGTATTTTGAAATCACATTGTGCAGCCCTGAGAGTATTACAGATCCCTGAATGTTAATCTGGTGTCTACCTTGAACTTATTTGTAAGATTTTACATGTGTATTTTTTAAAATATATTTTTTGTAGTTGTAGATGAACATCATGTCTTTATTTAATGTGCTGAGGGTCGAACCCAGTACCTCATGTGTGCTAGGCAAGTGCTCTACCACTGAACTACAGCCCCAGCCCCTGCATGTGTATTTTTATGAGAACAGGGAAATGTTAGCTTTCTCCAAAGACCTGATTCTCCTAAAATTTTAAGAATATCTGCTACAGATGAAATTTTGATAAGACCTTTCCTACACATTCTTATTTCTCACCTCCAAACTGTTAATAAACTGCTTAGATGAGGGAAAGTTTATTTTGGCTCATTTTCAGAGATTCAGTTCAACAAACTGTTAATAAACTGCTATCTCATCACTTGTGTGTTAGCTTCTCATCACTGTGACCAAAATACCTGACAAGCAACTTAGTTGAGGGAAAGTTCATTTTGGCTCATTTTCAGAGATTCAGTTTATGGTCCGATGACTCCACTGTTCTGGACACAATGTGAGACAGAACATCATGAAGGAAGGGTGTGGAAGAGGAATGCTGCTTCATCCAGGTAGCCAGGAAGCCAAGGGGATTGGATGGAAAGGGGCTGCAGGGAAGATGACCCCTTCCTAGGTACATACCTAAGTTACCCACCTCCTCTGGGAACATCATACCTGTGGTATCTATATACCACACCTAAACTAAGACGGACTGGCTTACATTTCTCCTAACTTTAATACCAAAAATTGAACCCAGGGCACTTAGTTACAGAGCCACATCCCCAACTCTTATTTTTAATATTGAGACAGGGTTGCTAAATTGCTGAGGCTAGCTTTGAACTTTAAATCCTCCTGTCTCAGCCTCCCAAGAACTGGGATTACAGGTGTCTGCCACCACTCCCAGCATAGGTCTCATCTAATCACTGCATCTCTGAATATTCCTGCATTAATACAGGAGCTTGGGGGGACACCTCATACCCAAACTATTATTCATTTCACTGGATCCCTTTGGGGTTACCTAGTCTTGGGTCTCACGCTTGCCAGGCAAGCACTTTACGTCTGAGTCACAGCCCCAGCCCAAGGGTCTTTATTTTTACCAGTTAAATCTATTAGTTACTAGACTTCAGTCTCCATATACTATATAATCCTCAGTGGCAACAAGTAGTACTTTATCTGTTGGATTTCAAGCTCCAGGAGATGAGAAAACATTTTACACTTTGTTTCTCTAATGCTGTTATGCTCTAGCCAACTGCTAGAGATGAATTATAGTTTTCTATTTTATGCTAATTTTAAAACAGACTTAACACGTATTTATACTTCGGTTTCCTGGACTCTGAATTGGTTACTATTTCAATTCTTCTGCTCTTCTACAGCAAAGACTCCACACAACACAATTCTTGCAATACATGAAAGGTTTTAAGCATAGATTTTAGACTGGTGGATGGGACCATTATGAGTGGTCATCAATTTTACCATTACTTTCATAGTAGAATGCTTATATCCTCATCAGTCTAGAGTAAATATTTGTCTGAAAATATTTCTATTGTTTTGTAAAAAGTAACTTACACAACCCTGTTTGTCATCTCTGGATGTTTTATAATTTCTGTGGCTTGTAGGTGAATATAAATAGAGGAAGAAAAATTGTTCAATGAATGTAGTTTTTAAGCTTTTATAATAAAAGCATGCTTAGAATTGTTTTTGCTTTTTAAAAAAATACAGTATTTTGAAGGGGAGAATGAAATCTTTATTTTAATTTATTTGTTTTATGTGGTGAGGCAAGTGCTCTACCACTGAGCTACAGCCCTAGCCCTGTTTTTGCTTTAAAGCCTTTTGAAACTCAATTACAAAGGATATGAGAATTAGATAAGTTAATATATATATAAAGTATATCCTGGCACATAAAATCTATTTATGTGTAAAAGCTAATATGAGTAGAATTAATTCACTCTGAAAATTAGCCTTACTTCAATATTCTCATCAGCTGATTTAGTTTCTGAAAATATGAAAGAAGTACAGTATGTACAGCATGTGTCATGGAGCATCCATAAACTATGCCATTTTAGACCAGCACTCCATAGAAAGCCATGAAAATACTTTAAAAAAAATACTTTCAATAGTGTTTTAGTACTCAAGTCTCCCATATCTCAACTACTTGGAGTTAATCTCACATTATGATAATGAAAATTAAAATATTTTTGAGCACATTACTCTTTTTTGTAAATTGGAACTGAATATCTCTTCTCTTCGGCTTGCCTTGCAGAACTGGTGAGATGATAACATCAGATACTGTGCATGAAAGCTTTTTTAAAATCATAAAACAGTGTGGTGGCATACACCTGTAATCTCAGCAACTCAGGAAGATCACCAGTTCAAAGCCAACCTCAGCAATTTAGTGAGGTCCTCAGCAATTTACTGAGACGCTGTCTCATAAATAAAAAGGGCTGGATCTGGGGTTTAGGTAGCTGATAAAACATTTCTGGTATGTCCCTGAAGATGTTTCCGGAAGGGATTAACAATTGAATAAGTAGAGTAGTTAAGAAAACAATTGCTCTCATCAATGTGGATAGGAATAGTCCAAGCTATTGAGGGCCCAGGAGGAAGGGGAATTTTTATTGCAGGTGGAAAACTTAAATATTGGCTTTCCTGTGTCTCTAGTATGCAGACAGAGGGCAGATTATATGACTTCTCAGCCTCCATAATTGCTGAGCCAATCCTTCATAAAGTATTTCTAAACATCTCCCACATCTGTTTCTATGGAGAGCCCCAACCCTATAACATGCACCGGAAAAGCAGTGTTGAACAAGATCTGATTTCTGCCTACAGTAAGTCCCAGAGTCTTCCAGGGACAGATAATTTCAAAACATTCTGTTAATTACTCAACATGGAATAAGGATAGGGGACTATGAATACACAAAGGAAGAGGGACTGTTAGAGTGCTAAAGAAAAAAGATACACTGTGAATGAAAAAGAGGGACTCTTCATTCCTCACAATCTACTTCCACTCTCTCGCTTTTCCTTCATTTTCTTCATAGAA